GCCCAGGAAGGAGATGAGTCCCGCTGGAACAGCTTCTCTCTACACAAACAGTAAACGGGTCGGGAGCTTCCATTCTCTGTCCGTCAGCATCGGTACGAAGGTGGGGTGGAACCGGGAGGGCTCTCCCCGGTGCAGAAGGATGGCTGGCTTTGCAGAGCGCTGTGGGGTTAAGTTGCAGGGACCTCGAGGCTCACAAGGGTTGAAGCGGTGTGCAGCCGACCCTTGCTCTGCCGCGTGTGGGTCTCTGGTTGCACGCACTCTACGATTTTGGGTGTAGTTAGTAAGCTCGTTGGAGCAGGTTGTGTTCCACCCCGTGTTTGTGTATGTCCTAGTGCTCTGGGATTCTGCTCAGACTTGGAATTTGTGGGTGACACAGCAAAACCGTGCCGGTTGTTGGCGGCGCTGCGTACGACCAGGTGGTGGGTTTTCTTTTGCACTGGAAGCAGGAATTCTCATCGCCTTGTTTTGTTCTGAAGCATACAATGACTCTTCCCCAAAGCTGTGTCACGGCCCCGCAGAACCAGTGTTTGTGGAGAGCTTCCGCGGTGGTTGTTGAGAGTTTCGACACATGGCGTTACCGCGTCTGTTGTGCCGAAGGGACGCAGCTGAAGTGTGCGCAGGGTGCCTTGGGGGTACGAGCAGCCGACATACCTAGACTGAGGAGTAGAAGCTGGTTTTGCTCTCAGTCAGAAAGGCCAGAGGGTTTCAGAGCTGAATTCACTGCTGGGGCAGCTCCTGGAGGAATTTGGGTGGAAAGGGATGGTGGGAAGGGTTAAAGGTTCCTTGTGTCTCTTTTTTTGTACTGATTTCCCTGTTCTTTCTGCTCCCCCCAAAAAGGACACCCTGTATGCATACCCCTGTGGCTCTGACCACACTCCCAGCCCCATGGCCAGCCGGGTACCCTTGGAAGCAGCCCCCCTCCTGGAGAAAAGAGAGGCCCGTCTGACAGCCGTGGCAGTGAACGTGGAAGATGGCCACACCATTGCTTTTCTGGGAGACAGCAGGGGGAGACTGCACAAGGTATGGTCAGGATCCAGCAGGAAGCCAAGAGGATAAAACTCCTCGGGGATGCTCAGGTGGAAGGCAAAAAAAGGCAATGTCTCTTGTCCCTTGGGAAGTCAGGTTCCCACTAGAGATCATTCCTACTGGATGGTCTCTTCTCACACTGTGCTGGCTGTTGGGAATGCGAACGCCCCGCTCAGTGGTCACGTTGCCTTTGGTCACATCTGCGCTGAGCCGCCGTCAGGGCTGGTGCATCCTACGTGGCTTCCGCAGGTATTGCCGGGCACATCCTTCCCGTGGCTGAAGTCACTGCACTGGGGTTTGGTGGGAGGGTGAAATCCTCGCACACAGCAGTGGTTCCAACTTGCTCCTGGTGTAGGACGGGTGCCCGACTCCTGCTGTGATGCTTTGCCTGCATATAACTGTGACTCTTGCAGGTGTACTTAGGAGCAGCGGGGGAGGCACACGTATACGCTTCTTTAGCCATCCAGGTGAATGGCATGGTGAGCGCGGACCTGCTGTTTGACCAGATGCAGGAGCACCTCTTTGTCATGACCCAGTCAATGGTAAGAGCAATAAAATCCCTTCCACAGGAGAGCTGAAAGCACTTGAGGTCCAGAGAAACTGCTGAGGGGAGTAGGGGAGGCAGAGAAACAGCGTGTACAGCTGAGGCTGTGCCGGGCAGCAGCTGCCTGCCAGTCTGGCCTCCCGGGATGGGACTGGCCCTTGGCGAAAGCTGGAGGAGGCACGCAGGCAGTCCTTTTGCCCTAAGCTGTGCCTTTCCCTCAGCCGGGCTGTACCGGCAGTGATGGAGGAATGTCAACCTGCGGGCTATAAGAGGCCGCTGTGCTGGCGTGGAGGCGAGGGACTGCAGGTGCCCGGGTTCTGCTGCGGTGAGCAGGAACTGTGTGGACAACACCTTTGCGTGTCTGAGCAGAAAAATGTGAGCCTTCTGGGTTCACAAGTAACGTGACCTGTCTTGGTTTTGAAAAAGATTAAAAAGAGAAAAGGGGGGTTCTGTGGAATTAAAACTGTGGCATTTCTCCTGGTTTTAATCCGTTAAAAGATTAAGCTTTTCTTCCGTAGGCGCGTAGCCTACCAAGGCAGAGATGTGTGGGGAACGTCTCCAGGCAGCGGAGGAGTGCTCTGAGCGGGCACGTGGTAGCAGTCCTGCAGAACAGGCCAAGCTGTGGAGGCACCTCTGCCTCTCCCGCTCTGTGCAGTTCTGGTTGTGCCCGGGGGCAGCTGGAGGAGAGGCACTGCCATGCCTCAGGCTCTTGGGGTGTTGGTGTCTGCTGAGTAGGAAATCCAGCTATGGATGCAGGACTGAAGAGGGTTTGTACACCACCACTCATCAGCTCCTTGAGCTGGAAGGGAAAGGTTCCTCCTAGCAGGGAAACACCAGCCCTTGAGTTACTGTGAAGGAAAGAGCAAACAAAAGGAGAGCGTGCTGGAAAGCCACCGCTTCCCTTCGCCCCCTCCCACGTGGAGACACTCGGGAATGTTGTGACCCTTCAGAGGAGGAGTTGAAATCCATGAGTGGAAGAAGATCAGGGAAATCTGAGATACACCCTTAACAGTAACGGTTCTGTCAACTAGAAAACACGAATTACGTCGTGTGCTCAGCCAAAGGAACAGGTCAGGGACTGGAAGTTGGCGTTCTAAAGTAACTGACTGTAGCAGCTGGAGCGTAGCTGTGGAATAAGGAAGGGGCAGGGATAGCAAGCTAAAGCAGAAGTGTTTTGCCAACAGAACGTACCTCCCGGGTGGCAGGAGGTTTTTGTCCCACCCTGCTCACGGCTGCTTGGCCTACCCGTGCTCCAAAGGGCAGTTGTGCCGGCTGGGGCCGGGCGATAGCGCGGGGCATTCAGGGGCCTCTGCCGGAGCTGTCTCCAGCCTTGGTCGCTACGTGTCGGGAGGTGATCCGCCATGCCAGAGTCCAGAAAGGCGAGAGTCAGTGGGGTTCGGGCTGCTAGTCTTTGATCCGCTGCATTAGAATAGTTTTATCACTAAATCAGAGCCCCTTCTTGCAAGCAGCATCACAGCAGCACGCTCCACCTGCCTCGGCGTCTGTGCAGCCTGGTGGTGTCCTTCTCCGGTTTGTACAGCGGCCGGCGGGCGGGCTCTGGAGCCTGGTGCCGCTTTCCTTCCCCTTCATGCCGTCTGGCGATCGGGAAGCTGCTTCAGTGGGCAGGCGGGTGCTGGGGCCTGCGTGCGCCATGTCCTCACTGATTTCTTCTCTGGCAGGTGGTAAAGGTTCCCATCCTGGAATGTTCCCTGTACGTGGACTGCGGATCCTGTCTGGCTCTGAAAGATCCCTACTGTGGCTGGTGTGTCCTTCAGGGACGGTAAGACAGATCCCTGTTCACCTGCAAGGATTTTGGGGGGATAGTGCTTAGGGATTGTCTCCCCTTATGCTCTGCCTTATGTCCGTGTGTCTGGGTTCAGTTTCTTCTGGTTCCTTTGTGGGATATTCTCTCAAGCCTACCATTCCCCTGCCTGCCCCCCTTGAGACCGCCAGCAGCCACGGTTACACACAAGGGCAGGTTTCCATCGCTCCCTGGGGCTTTGGCCACCGCTCGCGATGCTCCTGTCCAGTGCATTTCAGCCTGGTTTTAGCCTGCCTGCAGCTCTTGTCAGATGGAGGAACTGCCCTCTCTCCTGGTGTCCTCCCTCTTCTTGCTCCCCTACTGATGTAGCTGAACGAGACACGGTTTACTGCCGCGTCTGTCTGCTTGCTGGCTCTGTCTCTCTGCAGAACTGGTTTATGGCCCTCGAAGCCCATGGAGTGCCTACCCCTCTACATTTCGGTAGCAGTCCGTCTTGTTACTGAGGGTGGTGGGAGGCTGGGACGTCTGTGCCTCCTGTGGCCGTTCGCCCAGGCCCTGGCAAGGCTCAGCGGGCAGTGGCAGTTGGAAGCCAAGCGTGCCCTGCCAGGGCGGAACTGATCCCTCACGGGCTTCCTGCTGTTCCCTGCAGGTGCAGCCGTCGCTCGGAGTGCCTGCGGTCCAGGCTGAGTGAGCAGTGGCTCTGGAGCTTTAACTCTACGCAGCAGTGTCTGGCTGTCCAGTCGCTAACTCCAGCCAACATCAGCAGAGAGGAAAAGAGAAATGTGAGTGGTGATGATCCTCCGATGATGCCCACGCATGTAGGAAGTCCCCTGCAAACTCTGAGGAGTCGCAAGTCTTCCTCTTGCTTTCAGTGGGGTACTGACTGCCTGAGCCCCCACGCACAAGCCGTCTGCCTCACGTGGGGGCTGAACAGCTTGGCTGCACCGGGAGACAGTGTCACTGTGTGTTCCCGTACAACCCGAGTGTCCCTGCCTGCGAAGGGGTGCTGGGTGTGCTGGAGTATTTGATGGCTGCTTGGGTTGGGGTCTCTCCCTGGCTTGGTATCTACAAGGTGCCCGTGTCTGCGGTTCAGTGTTTTCTGACGTTGCTGCCAGGGAGATCCGAAAGGAGCTACCCAAAATGACGGCTTCCGTCTGGCATCTGGGAGCTGGCGGAGGAGCTAGGAAGGTGCTGCCGTGTTTTGAAGTCTGTCCTTGTGGCAGGAGGTGGCAAGAACCTGTCTCTTGGCAGAGCCTTGGGCAAAGGGGGGAGTTGCCGATTGCTTGGTGGATGCCAAGTTCGGTTTGGGAAGGGCAGGAGATGCTGAACGGAACAGTCAGGCCTAAGAGGCGTTGTAGGAAGATGGGTGTGTGTGTAGGTAACTACTTCGTGGGGCTCTTTCTTTGGAAAGAACAGAACCAGGAAATCAGGTGAAATAAAGAGGAATGTGTTGGAGGGCAGATTACTCACTGGGTGTTGCTGACTTGGTAGATATTCCTGGCTATCTCGGACTTGCCTTCTCTGCGCGAGGAAGAATTTTACTCCTGTTACTTTGAAGATTACGAAAGCCCAGCAGTTTTGACAGAGTCGGGAATCATGTGTCCTTCTCCGGATCCCAGCCACGCCCCAGCTTTGCCAGCAGGAGCAGGTCAGTGGAATGCTTGACATGGAGCACGGTAGCTCCGGTAGCATTGCGGGGAGACAGTACGCTGTGGGTCTGCTGGGCTGCCAGCACTAAGAGCCGTCTGTGGCCTGTCAGCAGGCGTTCATTTCATTCTGTCATGGTATCTGTTTGCTTTCTACTTGTGTGTCACACGCATCCTGTGCTATTTTGGGCTGTTGCCAAATGCCGATGCCAAATTCTGGTAGTTGGAACGGAGACCCTGCTTGAAGGGTTGTATGCAAATCTGAGTGTGATCTGAAACGCAGTCTGGAGTGGTGGCTGGTTTGGCAGCTTTGTCATAAATCTGGAGAGAGAACTCTCTGAAATACTGCTCCATTATTTAAATCAACCAAAATGCAAACCTTCTCAAAGCCCACGTAGTAGTGGGGGAAGGAAGCGTGTGTAAGGAAAGGCAGGAAGAGCCCCATGGTCCTTACAGTCAGAAGTGAATCCGCAGTGGGACAGAACCTCGGAAAACACACAGTCGGCCTCCTGTTTCCGAGACCAGCAACGGGCTGAGGATTGCTCGTTGGCCACCCTGAAGAACCCGGAAAGTTCTCCGTTTGTAATCTTGGCCTTGGATTTTGCCCAGCCTGTCGGCCTGAGCTCTAGGAGCTGATCTCTTCAAAGAGCCCCTCTGAAGCGAGAGGCAGGTGCCGGTCGGGAAGCATTCCGCACCACGCACCTAAATGGCCAAACGGATGGAGCTGCGGGCGTGCAGCTGGCTGACGGCTCTGCGGTGATCTGCACGGACCCGCCGGCACCGCAGAACCTGGCTAGCGCCCTCGTTCACTCCCCAACTGCTTCCCTTTCACAGTATCGTTGTATCTGTTGGCTTCTGCCCTGCCGTAGTCTGGGCCAGGCCGACCCGTCTCTGGCCAGGCACAGAGGGAAAGGCTCCGTGTGCCGCCTCTGCAGGCGGAGTGGGCGGGAATGGCTTCCCTCTCTAGTCTGCCAGCTCGGGCCCGAGTGTAAGCCCAGGTGTGAGAGCAGTCGGTGTGGGTAAAGCCACAGTCTAGTTCTCGTTCCAGGCTTCGGAGATTCTTGCTGACTGGCTTTGTAGGTCAGCCGTGCTCTCATGTGAAGACTCCGGGGCTGCTTTACCCCTGTTACTTTCCTATGGCTTCTCTGAGGCTTAATGAGTGCCTTCTGTGTCCTGGCCCAGACTTGCTCGTGGATGGTTTGTGTCCGTTTGATCTGTTTGTGTTGTCCTTTTGCTTCCTCAGCTCTGCTCCCACGAGCCGTGGCCAGGCATTCTTTGCACAGAGCTTGGCCGAGTTGACTGTGCCAGCTTTTTCTTCGCGTTCTTTTGTTACTCGGACTTCCTCCCCCTTCGCTGCGTTGCCAGCCCTTCTGTGCACGGCTTCTGCGCCCTGCTGAGATGAATCTGAAGCTGGTAACCAGAGTCATACACTGTTTTCTAGATGAGGTCTCATCAGGGCCTTAGATACCAGCACTTGCCTGTTCCTGCTGTCCCAGCTCACTGAAATATTTGCCTTTTTGGCTTGTTTTAAAGGTTGTGTAACAGCTTATCTGTCCCCGTAAGCTGCTGAGCTCCACGCTGATAGCAGGAACTCTTGCTCTCCATTTGCGAGTGCTCGACCTCACCGTTGGCACTGCTGAACAGCGTTATTGGCAGTCATGGGGAGCCGTGGCCTTTCTGGAGAAGGGACTATTAATAAACTTGGTGTCATAGCCCTGAAATCCGGGGAGGTGTTAGCCCTCCCACCCCTGCCAGCTGCAGTGACAGTGGTGAGCGGACAGCGCTGCGGTGGCTCCTGCCTCCGGCTGCATGAGACGCCCTCGTTTTCTCCCGGTGGTGGGTCTTCATACCCCTCGCCATCAGCGCCTCGCTAGCGTCCTGCCTCGCTTGGGTCCCGTCGGGAGCCCAGCTTCAGCCCGACTGCGCCTTCCCCAGACCCCCGAACTGTGCCGTTGGGCGGAGAGCTTGCTTGCAAGAGGAGGTCTGAGTTCTGCGAGAGGAATGATGGGCAAGCTTCTTGTCCCTTATTTTTATAGCAAGCTGTCTTGGGGAAGCAGCAGCTCCTGGAGTTGAGCAGACGCGTTCCCATCGTTTGGAGACCTAACACCCAGCTCCAGGGCTGGCGGCATTCGTCTGGAACAAGATGAATGAGCTGGTCTGTACTGACGCATGCAAAGCACCTCCCTCGGGCTCGTGATGTCGGCTGCAGTACGCTCTGGCCGTCTCTGCAGCTCTTTGGTCTGTCAGAAAACAGTGATGGTCTCTTCCCAACGAAGAGTTGGGCTGTCCCGAGGCTGGTCGTTGCCGTGAGAGCTGGATTTGAAGCAGATAAGCCTTCAGTCCCTGCAAGTGAGGTTACAAGTCTCAAGTGCCTCTTCACTGGCTCACTTCTTAGCCGGGACGTAGAACAAAGCTCTCGAGGTGGAGGCGGGGTGAGAAGGGCATGTCAGTTCGGAAGGTTTGGTTTTCCTTTGGATGACAAAGGAAGACAATCAGCTTTGAGCCTGGAATGTTCCGTCTTCCTCTAATTGAGAGATGAGAGTGGAATTATAGCAGATAAAGAGGGACTTTCAGACCAGCCATCCTTCCCATGGGTTGGCAAGAGCTGTCCGAAACTACGCCTGCCAAACTTGTGCAGCCTGTTTTCGGTGTCCGTAGGTGATCCAGTGATTGAGGTGCCGGAAGCACACAACACAGTCCGTCTCCGTGTTTGACAGTGTCTTTCGAAAAGCGTGCTGCGGGGCTCCCAGCAGTATGGCAGACTTCCAGTGGCTCCACTCCTAAGGAATTTTTATTTTCATTTGCAGATCATGTCACCATAAAGCTCGTAGTGCGTTTCCATGACATCTTCATTGCTTCCGTGGACTTCTCTTTCTATGACTGTGCTGCAGTGGCCCTGCTGTGGAAATCGGCACCGTGAGCACCAGCTTTTTCTGTCTGTAGTCACAGGGAGGGTGGCTGTCCCTTCCTGGGTCATCTTAGCAGCTGCTTTGCTGTCATTGTTCAGGTGCCAGAAGTGTGTGAGCAGTCTCTGGGGATGTAACTGGTGCGTCCAGCAGCACCTCTGCACCCACAAAGCAGCCTGTGAGGAAGGAGCCATCGTCTACAACGAAATTTTTTCCGCCCTCTCCCCGCGGCTTGAACGGGCTGCAGCCGCTTGCAGGGAGTCGGGTCGCGGGCACAACGGCACCTGCCAGTCACGGCAGGCAGGGGGGTGAGCTGTCGGAGCAAAGCCCTCGGAGCGACACGAGGCTCTGCCTCCCTGGCGTTGCGAGGCCGTGCGAGGTTTCTGGGAAGTGCCCTCAGGTGACGCAGGTCGTCCCCCTCCTGGGCCTGTGATTTCAAGGCGGGGGACAAGAGCCATCGGGCAGGGGGGCTGCAAGCGGGGGGTGGAACGGACGCCGTTTGCAGCTTTGCAGGGGTGAAGGCAGGCAGACCTCCCTCTGCGTGGGGCCAGGTGAGGGGTCTGTGGGAAGAGGGACTGCTGCTGGGTCTGCCGCCCTGTGAGCGCTCCCCGGTCCCAAGGCCGGCTGGGTGGCATGAGGTGCAGCTTTCACTGAAACCCCGGGGTGAGGCAGCCCCTTGGGAGCGCTGCTACGAGCGGTAGTACGGAGTGCTGCTTCTGCTTGGGCCTTACTCTGTTTCGTTTCTTGCTCTCTTCTCACCCCCCCGCGTTGTTTTTCTCTAGGCCCAGATCCCAACCTCAAGTGTGT